GAGCAATTTGTACCTCAGCAAAAGCTACTCTGATATTAATCACAAGAATGCTGCCACCACGCCTTTGTTCCGTTCATCCCACTTCTAACACCAGATTATAGGAGAAATTTCTCCGTTATTTCATTTAACAACAGATGACACCCTTCCATAGACAAAAAGATGTTTATTTTGGTACCAGAGGCTGCAACAGCAAACCCAAAAAGGCTCAGTGATACAACCCTCTTAAGCAAGTCAAAGTATACAGGTAATCCATGAAGTTAGAGATAGTGAAGTAATGAAGGTGGGACTACAAAGGAAATGGTTTTATTAAGAATACAGAAACCATATTAGGATAATGATTATTGTCTGATGTTTCTATCCCTTCCTATCTCATCTTGCCTCATCTTGGCTTTCCATAGCTTTCCTTACTTCCAAGTTTCCCTTCTCCTTGTCATCTGCATTCCTTGCCTTCTATGCATTTTATGGCTGTACCGGCATTTTTATTGCTTCTCTAAGGGGCCAAAGAAAGGCGACTGTGGGCTGTGTGTGATCTGCTTGGCCTACCTAATGACATTTTCCCTGTGCAGAAGCATTTTTGTCATTAGTTTCCTTGAAAATAAATGTAACTGAATATTCTCTTAGTGAAAACAGATTTATTTACAGACAAAGGGATACATACTCAGAAAATAACCATCTACGTGCCACCCACAATACGATTATCTGATAAGGCCATGTGCGTTGCATAACTCCCATTAGAGTCTGTGACCATAACATAGATTGCTTTGATTGGATTCTCAAAAATGATGCACCATTTTGATGGAAACCTAAACATGACAGTTGCCTTATAGCATGATTCTGGACCATGCAAGCAAACCACTAAGCCCAGAAAGCACCAAGAACTCCACATTATACATATTACAGAACTTTCCATCTACCTGAAAGGAAAAAAAAAAGATATCACACTATGGGTTTATGTTTAGCTGTTTGATTCTTATTAAATGATGAACCATGCCAAAAAAAGGTTGGAAAGGCTAAAATATATCAGTAAAAAGTCATGGCTATTTACATAAGCAAATGCATTACACAGTTCTATTGATAAATTATGACTACAACTGCAAATTAATTCCTGTGTACATCATGTGATAAAAGTGTTTCAAAATCAGAACAGAAATACAGGAGTCATTTAAGAAAGAAAAAGGGATGAGTATATACTTTACACAACCCAATAGGCTACTTTAACAGAAAGCTAACTGCTTAAAACAACTTGAAATCAGTGAGGCAAATCATCACGGCTAGCAAATCTGAACTCAAATCATATCCTAAAGTATTTTAAACTGGAACAAGCAAGTTTAGAATACTATACATTATAACCCATTATAATCTCATGCACTGCTACAATATAATTTTTGAGCCCATTTAAAACAATATATGGGGTTGCTTTAGTTTCCCCTTTAATCAAAAAGTATCCATTTCACAGGGGGATGTTTGAACAGTTAAATATATTTTAAAACAGGCAAATTCTATTACTCCTGTACTTTAAAACATCTTAAGTGCCTCCCTCTGAATAGTTAATTTGGGTAGGGGGGTGGATGGAAGAGAATCATTACAAATTTTTTTTTTTAAGAAGTAGAGATTCAAAATATGTTTGAGTAAACTTACCATCACATATTACACACCAATGCTAAATGCTTGCTTTGGATAGACACTCATAATACATGGCATTAAAGGTTTCAGCCTGCTCTCACCCTTCCTCCCCACACCTTCAAACGTTCATTGCAACGTTGTTTATATAGGGCGAAAATGCCACAACGCATTCAACTAAGTATACATAATGTAGGCAACAGGTGTGTCTCTATTTGAATCACAGCCACGAAGATTATGCCTCAGTGCAGTTCTCAGCTCTTTCACACTATAGCAGAACGATTTAGGGTTCCTCCAAAGTAAGGCACCAATGTTTTCAGGGACTCGAGTTGTCTCCATAGCCTGGAGAGCAAATTTAGCAGCAGCGTTTACATATCTGTAGCAGTCCAAATAGGGGTGCATTGTACCCTTAGAGGTGACAAAGTTCCTGGCTTTTTACATGAATTATGTATTCATCGTATCATAAGGCAACAGAAGAAACTTCCGCAGAAGGATGCTTAATGGAGCCTAAGCAGAATAGAACAATGTCTGATGGACTACAAGTATTAAACATGATCTGCAAGCAGCAGCTGTCAGTACCAGAATAAAATTGCCTTGCTTTTGCTTGTAGAAGCTTTTTCAGAGGGCTTCTGGGTGGTCTAATAACTCACTCCAGGCTGAATACCATGACAAGGAGTTTAATAAAGTGCTGTTTTCTCTGCTACTACCAAGTTACTGATGAAATTGCTTCTTCATTTCTCATGTACTTGGTGATGTGCCAAGAGGGGAGAAATGCTAAATCTTTGCAGAAACACAAAGACAGGCAAGAGAAGGAAATTAAAGGGGTTTCAAAAATAAGGGGATTTATTCTGTCCAATTCAAGTGTCTGGCCCTGAATCAGCATTTGGGTTAGCTGATGAAGAAAATATGTGTAATTTTGAATAGATAAACATTAAAATTGTCCATAAATATGGACCATCTTCTATATCTTGCTTAGTAAGATTTTTTGGTAGTTTATGGAAATCGAGCTTCTTATGGCATAGCTACCATAATCCAGATGACCAATAGGTGGCAGCAAAAAGCTAAGCTTCCTTGCTTGCTTTTTCTTTTCTCCCTCCCTCTCCTTCCTGCTACCATTTAATGGCCACTTGGACTTTCTAGCCATACCCCAAATATTTAGTCATACTTGTAGTTCACTGAAATTTAAGTCGTCTGTTGCAGCATCTTTTTGGGGGGATATGGTCCAGCTCTCCCTTACATATTTATTGAATAGAGTTTTGTTCTTGACAATACAGCATTAGGTTTTATGCTGTTGGATCAGAATTTTATTTATTTATTTAATTTGTCCCCGCCCATCTCCCCACAATGGGGAACTCTGGGCGGCTTACAACATACTAAAAAACATGAATACAGTTAAAAGTTATAAAACCAAATATTAAAAAATAAAAATAAAAAAGCTAAGAAATCCAAGAGGGCGCTGGGGCCACAGCATTTATCTACTAAACAAAGCTTTTTTATAACTGTTCAATTACCATTTTTTATTCAATCTGGTCCTTGTTTTTACCACCACCACCCTCCCCACATTTCTATTTTGCTGTTTGTCTTCTTCTTTCAAAACAGAGGCAAGTGAAGCAGACAGAGGAAAGATACTAATAAATACTATTTAGAACTCAAGTATGAAAAGCTGCAAGTGCATCACAATAAATGCTTTTTTAAAAATATAATTTTTATTTAGAATTTTAATTACAATAGTAAAAACTAATACAACTAAACTTAGAGAAAGAGAATGGAAAGAAAGAATAAAAAGTGCAGGAAAAAAGAAAAAAAAAGAAAAAAAATATAAAGTGACTTCCAACCTTCATCACAACAAGTATAAACAAATGTAATAACTCTTCACTCCCTATAAAGTTAAACAGTTATCTCTTCATCTCATATCCCATCCCAGTTATCTATAAGCAAATCCATAAAATGTCAACTTTTCAATCCTGGTGTCAGCCAAAAGTCCATAAAGGGTTGCCAGAACTTTGCAAAAAAAAAAAAA